GAACTCTAGAGCTCTAGAACTCATGTATGGAACTCAAAATCAGTCTGAAGTCTACAGGGGTAGGTTTAGGATGAGAGTCCGTGCTAAAGGGGAGAGGCTGCAAGAGATGCCACAGGACTTGGAAAGTATGGCACACAAAGCCTACCCAACTGTACCACCCGATCTCCTCAAGTTGTTGCTGAGGGATCAGTTTGTAGACACCTTGGACAGTCCACAACTGAAGATACAAGTAACGCAAGCACATCCCTCTACTATGCAGGATGCAATGGCCAGAGCTCTTGAAGTTGAATCCTACATTAAGTCCAGCACAGAGGTACCGAGGTTGGTACAGTCATCAGGATTCAAGGCCAGAGAAGTTTGAGGGACTTTGCTGGCACTGTAATAAACCTGGGCACAGGGGAGCTCAATGCTGGCAACTTCAACACAGGGGAGATGCCACAGCAGGAAAGGCTGCTACCCAGAAAGGTTGTTGGAACTGTGGAGAGCAAGGACATATGAGGAGCCAGTGTAAGAATAATACCACCAATAAGTCAGCTTTTAGAAACCAGTAGTGGTTTGTGCTGAGGGATGCCCACCAACCCCCATCGTGAACGTCCCAACAGCTAAGTGTAAAATGGCAAGCACACATAGTGTCTACATGACAGGAAAGCTGGATGGCCAAAGGTGCAACTTTGTCATAGATTCTGCATCTCAGCAAACCATTATGAGTATCAAGGTGCTGGATCACAAAGGACTACCAGAAGCTGTGTGGTGTGACAGGACATTATGCAAGGTTGTGGGGACCAGTGTGGGTAACTATTGAGCTCATGGGCATGAAGAACAGACAGAAAGTATACTTGGCTGACATTGAAGACCATTGCATATTAAGGTGGGACTATTTAATACCGAGGAAGTGTGTAGTTAACTTCGATAAAATGACGATTCGAAACAACAAAGCCCAAATTCCAGTATGTGTTGCTGCATCTGTTGATTTGCATATCACAGCACTTAAGTCAGCTACAATACCCCCTATGTCAGAGAAGATAATTTGGGGTAGGATAAAAGCACATCCCCAAGGAAGCCCAATGCTTGTTGAAGCAGTGGAAGACCCATCCAGGCCAGCAGATTTGAAGATTGGAAGGTCACATGTGGCAGGTCATCAAGTAGTAC